AGGAAAGCCTTTTGATTGAAGTGATCCCTTCTGATTGCTCTATAGATTAAACACTGTTTTCCACCTGTTTAATCTAATGGTTTCACTTGGAGCACATCCCTGAGCTCAGCCCTGCCCTGCTCCTGGGGCAGCACTAATGAACATGCCAAGGAGACAATCAATGGAATATTGTCCTTAATGCATCAGCCACATCACAACAGGCTTTATCATCCCCAGGGTCAGCACACAAAGTGATACCTGCTATTAATCAATGACAACTCCAGCTTGAACTTCCCTGCCTGTAAATACCTCATCTAGCTCCTCTTTGGGGAAGATGCATTAAAACTAATTTAGGAAAAACGAAATCAGGATTTATCTGTTCATTTTATGGATATCACTCAGACTTACAAGGGGCTAAACCTTCGAGTCTTTATCCAGACAAAGCCTGGGAATTGTGCTTTGATCAGGAAATTTCACTTAGCTGTACAAAGTGTCAGCTCCAGGATGCTGATCTCTGCTTGTACTTTCAGTACTGTGCTCCTTGTGCTCAGTACAAACTGGTATTTCAATATTTAAATGAGTTTAAATGCTTTGATCCTCACCATTAAGGGAATGTGTGGGTGAGGTGAACAGAGGCACAGGGATTGTGATGGATGCTCTGGATGGAGACAGCCAGAACCAGTTCCTCTCCAAACAGCCAGTCCAGCATCTCAAACCCAAGGTTCCACAACCAAACAGAGCTTGGGGATGGGGCAGGGAGAAGTCACTGACTGAACTTCATGGAAAATCCAGGGAGAACAACTTCCCTGCTCCCCAACACCAGCTGGAACACTCAGCTAATGAGTAAAAAGGCCATGACAAGTGATGCCTCAGGTTTGAGCTTTTCTATTTTCCAGATTCTGTGCTGCTTTAGTGTGTGGGTCTGGGTTTCATATGAGGGGATGGTGAGCTCTGTGCACAGAGCAGGGAGACAAAACAATTCCTGCTCCGGCTGGGGACCAAGGACAAATGATCCAAATCTCAGGCCCAGGAGCACAAAAAACGTGGGCTGGAGAGAGAAAAACAAGGATGGGACTTGATGGGCTGGAGTTGTAATTGGACAATTAAATCCAATATGCAAATGGAGCAGAACGGATCAAAGTGAGAGATCCCGTGAGTGGTCAGGGATTTTGGGACCATTTGGGTTCATCTTGGGTGTAGCCCTGGCTGGGCTCTTGTGCTGCCCAAGGTGGATCCATGGAGAATATCCATTTAAATAAATCCCTACTTTATTCTTTAACTCTGTCTGGTCTCTGTTCTAGGCCAGCCTTCTCAAGGCACCAACAGCTAAAGAACTCCTCAGAAACACAGAGGGAAGAGACAACTCATGCCCAAACCACCCAGAACTGCCCCAAAACTCCCTCAGTGCCACACCCCCCTCCCAGCCCCGGCTTACCTGGCGTGCATCTCCCAGAGCTTGGTGGCCATGCGCTGGTCCCAGACGCAGAGCAGCCCCTCCTCCCCTCCGCTGACCACCTTCCACTCGTCCATCTGCACGGAGCACACGCCCAGCTGGTGCCCCTGCACGCAGCACACGGCCTCGCCACACCGCAGGTCAAACACCCTCACCCTGGGGAACAGGCACAGTGAGGCACAGACACACAGATCTTCCCTAATTCACCCACAACTGATGTGGTGTGCTTTTATACTTTGGAACAGTTTTGTTTTGTATTTTTCC